TATCCAGCCTCAGTTGTTTCTTTGATTGAAAACTACACAGATCAATCTTTCGTTTAATTGAACGAAATGCAATTATTCTAACTTAATAGTGTTAACTTGTTGCTCGAAAAATTGCAACATAACCTCAGCACCTCCGCAGGCTTCTTCGATAGATACTCGTTTCTTCACCTCCTTTTCCTCTTCTTTATCCGATCCTATCTGTAATGCTATTAATAAAGACTGCTTCTTCTTCTTCTTCATCAAGACATAAATACTCTTCAGCATTTATCGGGTCCGTGAAAGGAAGTTTATCGATTAAGGCTTGTATTGAATTTCGGTTCTTCAAATGCAGACAAGGAGATGTCTTCTTTTGCAGCTTCCATAACAGTATTGCTCGATATTTCTTCACACACTCCTTATTCTTTTTCTTTCCAGCAAGCGCGCCCATAGCTAGCGTGTGTGCAGAATCCATCTTCTTGCATAATAGCTTCGTGGATGGAGCACTTCTTGCCTTTCCATGCTTCGTATATGCACGAAGGTTATATTTTTTCTTGAACTTGTAATCCACCCGTCGGACGCTTTAAACCCTTCAATACTGAGAAGCATCGCAAAGCTGATTGCTTTTTTCTTTAAAACAGCACCAGTGATATCGAGATTACAGGATAATGCACCTTTGACCCCAACTCCACAAGGCATGTTCAACATACTCATATTTTGAGGGCCGATTACGCTTCAACTGAGCAGTATATTTATCAGAATCCGTTGTAAACCACTTTTCTTTTGCTATTAAGATTGCGGAGACGCTTTTTCTTATAATTCCGCACTTCAACGCAAGTTCGCCATTTGTTGGGGTAGGCTTTTTCGCCTTGATCATACTAACATTGTTTGACTCCTCTCATCCTATTGGCTGGATCCATATTTCCATTATAGCGCGATTAGTGGTGTTATAGACGATTCATAAAAAATTCAATTATAGCCAATAACGCGATTTACTATAAGAATCTATTATAACAAGCAATTTTTAATATTGGAAAAAAGTGTTCTAAAAAAATTTCTCACTATAATGCGATTCCATTATAACGTAGTCCTATTATAACAAGCTTTGACTGTATACATAACTGCTAAGCTTGGAAGAAGTATTGGTCTTATGAAGTGGCACCACTTCTTACAATGGGATGGTTTTTAATTATGGAAATTAATTTTTCAATTTGAAGATAATTATTTCAAACTGATGATTTCTCATGAGTGGGTTACTTTATTATAATAAGGATGCTCATCTGTTATTGTACAAACTTGACATATCAAATACAGCTTGCGATCACGAATCCTGTGTTCATGTAAATGTTCAGTGCATATGAGTCATCTATATTATTTCGCGTTGATTGATTAAGGTATTGTCTGCAGGGGGAGGGGGGGGGGGGGGGGGTCTGAACTTCTGATCTCCAGATTATGAGCCTGATGAGTTAGACCACTACTCTACCCCATAATCTATAATTAATATAATTTTAGTGCTTTACTTTTCTCTCTCCTAACAATTTTGTTAACATAAGTTACTGCTCTCATTAATTGAGAATAATCTAAATAAACTGCTTGATCAATTTCTTCAAAATTTTCTCAATGGTTGTGTCGAGCCAATACACCTGGGAGAGTGGCGGTATATTGACCTTGAGATCTAGCTCTTTTCGAACGGAATCTTACGATATTCCTACTTCGAACTAAATCAAATGACAATTAGTGACGTTTAAACTACGATTTATACTCACAATCTAGTATCGGTCTTGTATACGTTTCTCCTCGATTATTATTTATCCTCGAGTGATACGTCGATTCCTATTAGCGGGATTGAAACTAATAGTCTACCGGTCGGGAAATATAAACTAAACTATGCGCAAAGAAATAAATAATAAATTTAGACGTGTAAGATGCTTAGATTATCTAGCAAGAGTAATCTAGCCAATCGCAGTCGGAGAACACGTTTTCTAGTATCTCAAAAATCAATCGATTATTATAACCGCGATTGTTTCCTTTAGCCAGGCGATTATTTAGAACGAATAAATAATTATGTTTAAACACGGGTTTTTTATTAGAATATAAAGAACTATTCTAGAGCAAGGTTTTAAGTGAATATTGACTTTCACGTCTGAAGGTCAACTGAAGATGGAGTTTAGCTATCGTCTACACTGCTCTTATATATCTTTCTAGTGTCAAAGAATTCGGCCCCATCAGGAAAAATCGTACAATTGTAATACTTAATTTGAATTTGACGGTCACAAACTATTTTTAGGTGTCAAAGAACACAAGCACAAACCGTTCGTATCACAAAGATTTCGGACCCGCAGTACCGCAGTCGATGTTGATCGGAGCAGAAATTACGGAGACCTCATGTCTAATCGTAGATCCTGACAGTTGATTATTCTCAAATATCACCAACAACATTAATTCAACCTTCCCATTTAATTCTCCATTTTTGCTCAGTACTTTTAATTTTGCTAAAAATTTCTTCAACTACTTCGAAACTACACCACACCCCATTGACAATGGAATGGCTTATGTCATCCACTAGAGTTTAACCATTTGTTTGGCTCTTGGCCGACATGAATGGAGATATCAGTAGCTTTGAAATACGATCACTACACATCCTGAAATTATTTTAAACAAATTATGCTTCTTTTACTTTTTTCCATTCAGGAGGAGGCTACATGACTGCTATTTTTTTTGTATGTGGTTGTTAGAAAGCCTTATGTAAATGAAAAAAAAAGATTGAATTGCGGACGTTTCGTATTCCCTGTATATTATAACATCAACGCATTATGAGTATCTATACTATCTTGATGCATGTATATTTATAAGAGTTTAACATTTTATTGTTACGCGCCTTCTTCTTTAATT